CATAGATGTTATTAGATCCCTCTGTTTGTTGTCTGAATTAATCATTGTCTATCTTCCCACTCACGTTGTGATCTAATTCTTTGTTGCGAAGCTATCCTCATCTCCTCGTCACTATCTTCTTCATCATCTTCTCTTAATCGAGATTCAAATTTTTCTTTTCTTTTTCTAAAGTCAATTTTCTTTTCTTTTTTATCTTTGAGAAGTTTCATCATATTCTCCCTAACAAATGACGTGACTCTTGGACAACCTGCTACTTGACCTTTATCATGTGCTATGTGTTGCTTCAATCTTGTAATGTCACCCCTTATTATCTTTTGACAAAGTTTACATTGGACATTGTTGCGATTTCCTGCTATAGGTACTCCAAAATGCCATCCAATATCGTCGCTTGGAGCACCTTCTAGTCTTCCTATAGGAAATTCTTCATTTGATGTCATTGTGTATATATATCTGTATAAAATTTTGAAAATATAATATCAATCAATAATTAAATTATATTTCAAACTTCATTCGGTAACCACTTTGGTCTTCGCATTTTTTAACCATTATACCCTTCTATTTTAAAAAATTAAAAAAATATTTTCTTTTATCAAATTTAAAAACTTAAAACTAATTGACTAACAAAAATACATTATTTTCTGTAAAAATAAAATAAGTTGAGTTTAGTTTTAAAGATATGCTAATTTCATTTCGTTTAAATTAGATAATAATTATAATTATATTTTTAAATTTACTATTACAATATTTGTATATTCGGTGGTGATTATCATGGTAAACATTTACTAACAAAAGCATTTTTGTTTTTGGATTTTACTAGCTAAATAATAATAAAAGAAAGATTTTCATCCATGTTATAAAACAGCTGCATGTGTACTTAGTTGACAGCTATTATGCTTTTTGATGAAATTAAATAGCTTCAGTTAACAGAAAAACTAAATTAATTGATGACTAGGTCATTTAAAATTTTAATTAAAGGCCACAACCACAAGCCCAAAGGCCCACGTCCAAACGGTGTTCTAATTTTTTTTCATGCTCCGTTAATCCCCTAAACTCACTAAAGGCCCACGTTGATAGAGTCCAAGATTGAATTTGGGTTCCCATCACACGTCCACTCACTAAATAAAAAATTATATTAAAAGAAATTTAGGTTTTCATTCGTAAGGTTGCTCATTGCTGGACTGCGCCGCTGTTAATCCCCCAAACTCCAGAATCCATATTCACCGCAGCAAAAAACCAAAATCAAGCATTTCAAGCAAAAATCAAGCCAAAATCACAAATTCGTCCCTATTTACTGCGGAACCAATGGATTCGAGAGTGCGGGACAGCAACAAGCCAACAACAATGGCAAGGATATCAACGACAACAACAAAGAGAAACAGGGGTACGTAAGAGGTAGAAAACTTACGATTAACAAGCAAGCTTCCTCTTCTTGGTAGAGATACAAAGGGAGTTCCGAATGAAAGTGTAAGTTCTATGCTTTGTTTTTCACCTTTTAAGTTAAAGTTTGAACCATTATTGATCTCGTGAATAATTTCTCTGAATCTCTATTCTTTTCTCTGAAAAGATTCTCAAAAGTGAACTTTTTTTAAAAACAATTCCCTGTTCCACCTTCAAGTTGTCGTTTGCGGATTCAAAACGGAGGTGTTGCGGACGCAACACCGTTATGTTACAGAAAAAGCCGTGATTTACGGTCTCACCGCAATTGCGGTCCGATGCCGTTGCGGACAAGGCTGCAACCGTAATATTGCGGCCGCAATGCATGATGCGGTCCGCAATTTAAAACCCTGTTTCTAGGTTACTTCTTGAGATCTGCCTTGAAGTACTTGCGCTACAACCTCTATCCTTGATTCAAGTTGCAGTTCTTGCCCATTTGCAAGAGGAGAAGTTGCATGAGGCCCATCGTGCTTATTGCGATAAGGGGATTCTTCATGTCTTTTAATCACTCTATATTTGCACCTCACTAAAACCTCTCATTATATATGTTACAACATTGTCCTAAACACCAACCCTTCAACTTTAAATGCTTCATGCCATAGTTTTAAATTGCAGTTGTGGTTGTGGTTACTGTGATTGCAGGTATTGTAGATATTACGATGTAGATTGCAACCGTTGCGATGTGAAATTATTAATTATTTTGATTAAATATAAAAATTTATAATTATCAATATATATTTTATTTTAAAGGATTTATACATTTTAATTCCTTTTCTTTAAAAAATATTCTATTATTTTAATGAATAATTTAATTTATTTTAAAATTATAGTGTCAATTTGTCGTATTGCGGTGCATTGCGGATATGTTGCGGACACAATACCGTTACGTTGCGAAAAAATGTGTGATTTTTGGTCTCATCGCAATTGCGGTCCAATGTCGTTGTGGACAAGGCCGCAACCGCAATATTGCAATCGCAATACGTGATGCAGTTCGCAATTTAAAACACTGCTTCATGCCAATAAAGATTGTAGTGCGTCGTGATGACAAATAAAATTGTGGCCATAAAAACTCCTCCAAGTTCTTTCTTCTAACTGCCAAGGAGGAAGACGATATACAATGTTATTCAGGTGAATGAGACATATTTGATGTTGTGCATTCTGACTTGAAACCAAACTCCATTAACCACACCCATGGTTTTAAATTGCGGTTGCGGTCACGGTTGCGGTTACTGTGGTTGCGGGTATTGCGAGTATTGCGATGTGGATTGCGGCCGTTGCGGTGTGAAATTATTAATTATTTGCACTAAATATAAAAAAATTGTAATTATCGATACATATTTTATTTTTAAAGATTTATACATTTTTATTCCTTTTTCTTAACATTCTATTATTTTAATGAATAATTTAATTTATTTTAAAATTAATTTAAAAGTAAGAGAAACACAACAGTGGTTAGATTAATTCTCACTTAATATTTGTCATAATTTCTTAAAAGTAGATTGTCTCATTGACACAAATAGAAAACTTAAAGGTACACACATTTAGACAAATTTCAAATAGACAAGAAAGAAAAAAGGAAATGGCTTGACATAAAGTAATATGATTATCCACAAGTTTTATTATCATCAATTATCTGAAAAGTATTGTACCCTTCAAAGATGCATTTCACTAAAAGGAAAAATATGAAATTTTTTGTTAATATTGTAAAACTATAAAAAGCATGAATTTTTTTTCACAAGTAAAAAATTATATATAATAAATTTTTAACTCACATGATACTTATTACCACATAGTAGAGTGACGAGGATGATCATAGCCTCCACTCTTACTTTGGCTATCCCCTTGTGTGGCTCCTTGTCCAAAAATATAATAAAAAAATCCACCACTTTGTTGTTGATAATAAAGATCATTATAATTCATTGATGGTTGGTGATATGAGGGAACTTGGTCACTTGCATATTAATTGTATGCACTAAAATAAAGATATTGATAAATTGGTGGTGGATAGTACATACCCTTGACTACTTTATGAAGAATCATCAATATTGAAGTCACTAAAACTTTGTTCAATATGAGAAGATGAAGAATCTTTACATGACACATTTGTTTTATTTTTTCCTCTTCTACCTTGTGAATTGTCTCTTCTATTATTACCTGAAAATGAATGATCAAGAGGAATCATACCTGACATAGAAGTAGTGAAATCAACTACCAGATTTGTGTCACGCCTATTATATGGAATCTCTTGATATGGATCATTTTGTCTTTATTCATCCTCATCATCCTCACCATTATTTTCTTCATCTTCAATATCAACACCATCATCACCACTATTATTACTTGGTGGGCTTAAGTCACCACCATCATTATCACTATCTCCACCTTCCACATCTTCATCATTTGTAGCAATTCGAGGCAACCACTCTGAATTTTGAACTCCATCTAAAAGTGAATTTTCTCTTTCTTCTATCCATGGAGATAATGGGTCATCTTCTCGAAATATATAATCAAGATTAATTGGATTGCAACTTGCTTCAATTTCTCCTTCACTTTTTCTCATTTGATGCCTCATTTTCCATTTCATGTTGTAATGTGTAAAGACAAGTTTTTGCAACTTTCTGTACTTAAGGTTATTCCTTGTCTTTGTATGAATATACCTAAACGTACTCCAGTTTCTTTCACAATTTTTGCTGAAGTTGTTTGACTTAAAACTTTAATAGTCACACGTTGAAGTTCAGGAGAGCATGAACCAAACATCAACCACACCATTCAGCTTTTAAGAGAACAAGAAAAAAAAAGTATTATTTATAAAAAAATACGTTTATTTATTAACAAAGGAAGAAACTATATTTACCTGGATTCATTCTAGACCAAGCTCTTTGAGCTTGAGGTGTAGCAAATGTTTCACCCATGTCTTTAAACAATACCAACTATATAACATTATATTATATAAGATATCAATACATAGTTATATAACAATAATTTTAAAAACAAAATATAATTATTTATTATTAACTGAGTTCAAAGCTTTAATTTGATCATCAATGTTTCTCTCCAATTTCATAATGACCTTTTTGGTCCCTTCAAATGTCTCTCGATATACATCAAATCCATATATTCAACTCCATATTGAAATCGTGGATTAAGAAAATAACCTAAAATCTAAATAGCTAATCAATATGTATATATAATTGTATTAATGTATTACTTTATATAATAAAAGTAAAATCATAATGACATACCAGCAGAATGAAGATCAGAATGCATGAATCTCCAATGCTTGTCAATTATTTCTTAGTATTGAGAATAATAATGAGAATTTTTTTAAATTGATTGTTTTGCTCGATCAATTGCCTCATATATAAAACTCATTGTTGGTTTCTCATCGCCATCAACTAGCCTCAAAACTTTTACTAAAGGCTCAAATACCTTCAATAAATCATTAGCCTTGCTCCAAAAATCATTGCCAATAATAATTTGTCTTGCTTCAAATGCCAATCCATTTTTGTCTCTTCCAAATTTAGATAATCTAAATTCTTCAAAGTTAAACATGTTCCTCAAGCCTTGCTTTTGTTGCACAATCGCTTGAAGTGGTAAGAATTGTGTTGCAAACCGAGTAACACCAGGACAAATAATTTCTCTACCTCCAGTGTATTTTTTCATGAGATTTACAATCCATGTGTGATTGTAGATAAAAGTTGTTACTACTTTTGCATCACTTAATAACTTTTGCACATTCTTTTTTTTTCCTATATCCTCCAAACAAAGATCCAAACAATGTGTAGCACATGCAGTCCAATATAAATGTTGTCTCTTTTCCATCAACTTTTGATCAGCTGCTTTAAGTGCTTTTTCATTATCTGTAACAACTTGAATTACAAATTCTTCTCCCACTTCGTCCACAACCGTATCCAATAATTAAAAGTAGTAATTAGTATTTCAAGTGTCAAGACTAGAAGCATCAATAGATTTCAAGAAAATTGTTCCCTTACTACAATACACTAGAAAATTCATAATATGTGTATGATTTACACTATCTGTCCAACCATCACACATTATTGTTACTCCTTTTTCCTTCCATGTAGTTTTCAACTTGCTTATCCATTCTTGCATGCTTTTATATTCAGCTTCTAAATACACATCAGAAACTTCATAAGGTGTAGGGCATTTATCTAATAGACCAACCTCAACTGCTACAATAATCAAATTATGCAACCATGGAGAATTTGATAAATTCATAAGTAAGCTTTCATAAATTATAAACTTGCTTACCGCTTCTCTAAGCTTTTTCTTTAATGTTTTCATAAGACTCCCACCTATTTTTGGTTGTTTCATACTTTTACTTCTCACAAGATCCACATTTGTAGATCTTAAAGCAAAAGTAGCATCTTCTTGTCTTGAAGTTTGACTAACACTCATGCGAGAGCTTCCACCTGATTCATTGATGTTATTAGATCCTCGTGTTTGTTGTCTGAATCGTTGTCTATCTTCCCACTCACGTTGTGATCTAATGCTTTATTGTGAAGCTATCCTCATCTCTTCATCACTATCTTCTTCATCATCTTCTCTTAATCGTGATTCAAATTCTTCTTTTCTTTTTCTAAAGTCAATTTTCTTTTCTTTTTTATATTTGAGAAGTTTTATCATTTTCTCCCTAACAAATGATGTGACTCTCGGACAACCTGCTACTTGACCTTTATGATGTGCTATGTGTTGCTTCAATCTTGTAATGTCACTCCTTATTATTTTTTGACAAAGTTTACATTGGACATTGTCGCGATTTCTTGCTATAGGTACTCCAAAATGCCATCCAAATTGTCGCTTGGAGCACCTTCTAGTCTTCCTATAGAAAATTCTTCACTTGATGTCATTGTGTATATATATCTGTATAAAATCTTGAAAATATAATATCAATCAATAATTAAATTATATTTCAAACTTCATAAAAATGACTAATAAATTAACATAAAAATAAATATAAACAAGCTAATATTAATATGCATAAAATTAGGCTAAACATCTTATTATATATAAAAATCTCACAAAATATTCTAATAATCATTCACATGTATTATAAAAATAATAGTAATCTAATATAAAATTAAAATATTAATAATTTATCTTTATTAATATTATAATTAATATTAATCATTTTCATATATTTTAAATATAAAAATATTGATCTAATGATTCTAATCTAAGTATTTATAAATATTAATTATTTACATATATTATAAATAAAGATAAATTTCAAATTTCAAATTATATTTTAAATATAAAAATATTGATCTAATGATTCTGATCTAAGTATTTATAAATATTAATTATTTACATATATTATAAATAAAGATAAATTTCAAATTTCAAATTCAAACCGCAACAAAATTCTAATTATTTAATCTAAATTTTTAATTTTTAATTTCTAATCTTTATCAACAACCCAACACAATACTAGAGATTCATGTTAGGCCCATGACCCACCATTTGACAATTCTAAATTTCTAATCTTTGCCAACAACCCAACAAAATACTAGAGATTCACATGTCTCATTATGTAGGTAAAATTAATATTAAAATTTCTCATTAAAGGCCACAAGGCCCAAAGGCCCCAAAACGTGCCAAATTCACATTTCATTCATTAAAAATTATAT